TGCTGAGTGCTTCAGCAGGAAGGATGCGACACAGGCAAGGCACCTGGTGTGTGCTGTGCAGGGACCTGTGATCACGCGCATCACCACTGCCTCTCCTCTTTCACAGGCAACATCCTATGGAACAACCCCTCTGCTTCCAGGCAGATGGATGGGCAGCACGGACCGACCTGTGCGTCCTGTCCCCATCAAGGGGCCTGAAAAAGCCTTCTTTACTCCAGAATGAGCTGTCAGGGGCCAGACGGAGACTCATGGGAAGTCCTGCCCCACAGGAGAAGGCTTTCGGGGGGCAGAGCTCTCTCCACGAAGCCGGCTGTGTTTGGACCCTCACTGGGTTGGCCTAACGTTTAAAAGTTGAGACAGTTCACCTAGAAATAGGGATTTCTCAGCCTCTGTGGACAAATCGGCTGAGCAGCTCTCAGTGTTTTTCCACCAGAGGCTCCACTCCTGACACCAGCCTGGCCCCAAAGGCCTCTGGGGTCCCAACCGCTCAACCCAGAGCCCTCAGGAGAGAAGCTGCCCCGTGAAGCAAACGTGCACACTCTACTAACCAGAGAGAAATTTGAGAAAACACCTGCTCAGTGTTTTCTGTTTGACTGAAGTAGACACAGCTGTGGTTTAAGTCTCTGTACAAAGAGGTTAAGAAAGAACTGTCCTGGAAACAAGCTTGGAGCTGTGAAGGACGGAGCCAGGTATTAAATTCACCCGAGAGAAAAAAAATCAAGCTCATTATGGAAGGAAATCAAATCAGCAAAGCTGAAGATGAACTTGAGCAGCCTCAGAAGAGCACAGAGGAAATGAATACAGAGATTAAACAGAGGAGGAAAATAAGATAACAGGGGTGGAGGACTAATCAAGATCCCGCCCATGCATGGAAAGCACTCGAGACCAGAAGGCCCTGGAAATGAGTGTGATGCAGCCACAAGTGGCCCTAGAGGGAACTTTGCCCCTGACCTGGGACTGGACTTGCCAGCGACCTCAGAAGGGAGGGTTTGTAGTTTCTGGGCAACACTAATGAAAAGCGATGGACACCAAGACAAGGCTGTGATTTTTTTTAGTCATTTCAAAAGCAGCGAAAGAATCCCTTTAAGTGTACCGTCCGAGAAATGAGTAACAGGGAAGTTGGCCTAAGATCTCTCCCCTGCTATATTAAATTAAATCTCTGTTGCCAGGAGGCAAAAGAGAAGCATCAGCTGAAGCAAAAGTGCCCAGGGCGGGAGTGGCAGACCACGGGCAGCGCAGCAGACAGCTCATTTGTCAGCTTCTCCAGGGTTGGGGGGGGCAGGGAGGGGTCAGATTTCATCAACAAGCCACCGAATTTGGCGACTTACACAGGAAACAGTTCTTAATGTCTTGGGCCCAGAGGCCGTTCCAAGAGCAAGAATCTGAAGCCTTTGCAATAGAGGAGAACAAATCTGCCTCCACATTCGATCCGCTCCCTTGGCTCTACCCCTGTGTGCTGCCCCCTGGGCTGAGTCCTGCCGGGTCCGCGCCTTTTGTAGAGCAGTGTTGCCTAGAGCCTCAGATCTACAGGAGAGCCCGTTCTCAAGGCTCTGACCTGTAAGGGTAGAACACTTTCCATTCACAGAGAGAAAAAAACTCACAGCACAGAGGACAACACTTGTCTTGTTGGAGGTTTACACGTGACCTCACCTATGTGGGCAGCTGCAAGAACAAAGGATTCCAACACCAAGGTGTTTGCAACCAACCACACCCCCTTCCACTTTTTAGTATAAAAGGAGCCTGAATCCTGACTTGGGGAAGATGGTTCTCCAGGACATTAGTCTGCCATCCTCTCGGTCTGCTGGCTTTCTGAATAAAGTCATTATTCCTTGCCCTGAAATCTCATCTCCCGGTTAATTGGCCTGTTGTGTCTGAGCAGAATGAGTTTGGACTTGGTAACACCTTGAGAGGCCAAACCAAGAAGCTTCCCCACTGGATGCTCTGGCTCCCACTTTTGACCGCTGTGAGGATCTAGTATCATGTCTCCACCAGCTCAGCACAGTCCTTGGGACTGGAATCATACATCACAAAACCTGTGTCACTGAGGGCAGAGATCTAGTTCCTGCTGACATCAGGGGGGTGAGGGGGCTGATGTGTCATGATGGATCAGACAGTGGGTGGGGAGTTTTCGCTTGGGCACCAGCTGGGGCAGCGGACTGGATGGAGAGCTACGTCGGCATAATATATGCCCTGTGGACTCAATGTGCTCTGTTTGCAAGAGCATCTTTCCAGGCTCTAAAAGCACTAAGGCTGAACCCCAACTCTGTCCTGGGACCCCAGTATTCATGGACCTTTGCTCCAGAGAAGACAAAAGATCAAAGGGGTCTATAGGACATCCACTGGATATCCTGCCCCTGAACCCGTCACGTGGACACCCTCACCATCCTGACCTCCCAGACTCCCAGGAACGAGCCGTCACTTGGGATGTGGCTGGAGGAGGCTGAGGCCCCCTGGACTTGTCCGTGAGACAAAATCTCAGCCATCAGCCCCTGAAGGTGGGGCCAACACCAACACCCCGCTGCCCAGTGGAGAGTGCAGCTGGAGCCCGTCCTGTCAGAACGTGCCTGTTTGTAACTCCAGCGTCTTGAGGATTCCACTTAATCGTAGCGTTGCCAGTCTGTCTGTCTTTCTGTTTACACACGATTCCTTGTCAACTGCTATCCTGTGCGGATATTTTTTCTAACTTGAAATGTTTAACTTCAAAGGATTATTTTGGCACGAGAAAAAGCAATTTAGCATTTGATAGAATTAAGCAATGGCTCATTGATTTACCCACCACTATAAATTATACCTCCTCTTCTCATTTGCCATCTTAGTTCCTAATGAGTTTATCCTCAGACAGGTATTTGTTGATGCCTTGAGAGTGACAATTCCAAAGCACCCAGAGGCCCACCCCAGTAAGAGCCAAACTGAGCTGAGTTACTCATCGCGTAGATGTCACCTGGGTGCTGTTTCCTGTTATCTTTACAGAAGTGAGCGTGAAGAGAACTGGAGCTGGAGAAAAGAATGAGGTTCTGGCTCGCAACCTACTGAGAAGGAAACAGTGCTTCTAACGAAATCAGTCCTGTTCTGACAGTTAACACTCAATTCCCACACACTGTGTGTCATTTAATAAGTAAACTGCTGCTCTTTTTAATGAAGCCAAAAAGATGATGTACGCCGTCTGAAGCACGATTATGTCCCAGAAACAGGGAGGGAAATGCTAATTACAGAATAGTTCACATGGCAACCGCCTGGGGAGAGAAGCCGCCCGTTCTCTGTCTCTGGTGCAGGAAAGAGGTTTTAAAAGGCAACTTGACATCTCGTTCTGGGTGTCAGGTGGCACTTTTTGTAAGGTGGGTCTCTTTATAGATCCAGCTATGCGGGTGGGACCAACACAGAGGACACAGACAATGAAAGGTGTCAACTGAAATAAAATGCACAGCCTCAAAGCTGAGATTATGTTTTATTGGGCGGAGGACTTGAGTCCGGGAGGTAGCCTCTCAGATCGCCCTAAGAGACTGTTCCACCCAGGCAAGCGAGGAGCAAGGATATATAAGAGTTTTTGCAACAGAGACCAGGTAGCCAGAACATCAAAAGACGACATTAGTTAAAGGAAACCAGATCTCCTAAGGTAAGGAATTGAGCACTTTGCATGAGAACGTGCAAATGTCCTGGCTCATTGAAATCGTCCCTTTGAATGACCACCCAGCTCTCTGGGGCCGGTCTCCTGTTCTTTCCCCTCCTGAGTCCCCTGGGGGTGCATGTGGCGGTGGCTGCAGAGACCGGGCTGGCTTATCCGCATCCTGAGCTCCCTCTGCTCACTGTCGGGGGCGGGGGTGGGGGTGGCAGCTGATGACCCGATGGCCATAGCATTCTTTGTTCCTGATAAGGCTGGCAATATGTTTCATTCACAAAGGGAGCACCTAATGGAAGAAGCACCTGAGTCTTTTCGGCCAGCTTCACCCAGCTTCACCCTCCAGCTGCCAGGTGACTCCAGTCTGCCCCCAGGGACTGCAAAGTCAGGGGTCCTCTGTTCCTGGGGAAGTTGGACACTCGGAGGGCTAGGTGAGCCGCATATAGGTGTGACCATTCTACACTGAAAAGGCGTAATGAGCCATCAGTTAACTCTGGGACTGGGGTGTGGGTGTTGGGGCGCAGCAAGGTTGTCCCTCCCGGACCTGACGCTGCTCTAACTGGCATGGAAGAGCCATGGAACCAGGAGCCTCCCAACAACATTCCACCCTCTTTACTGTAACCTCTGAGAGTCAGTGCCTGCCATTGGCCCATCTGTGGGGAGTCCGTGTTTCCATGCGTGTGAGCTTCTCCTTTGTCGGCAGCCTGAGTCCATTTTGTCCTTCTCAGGCCATGGGCTCTAGATGAGGCTGACTCTGTCTCAGACTCTAAGACTGAACATGGGGCCTGGGGGAAGCCAATCATCACTTTGCGCGCCTGGTGTCAGATTGGTTCAGTGATGGACACGTGACCCAGAACAGGTTTATTGGAACCAATAAGATTTACTTCCTGAGCTTTCGTCTGAACGGCTGGGTGGAGGGTTTCCTCCCCAGTGGGTGCACACAGCATGAGGTCTGAGCAGCCATTCTTTTAACAACATGATGCTCCCTTTTGAAATTCCTAAAATTGATCATATTTGCTGCTTTTTTGTCCTGTTCAGTCTGACAAATGTATTGACTATTTACATAACAAGCTTTTGGGTTTATGGATTTTCCCAATTGTATTTCTATCCTCAATTTCATTGATTTTTGTCGCTAATATTATTTCTTTACTTCTGTTTGCATTGGGTTTAATTTGCTCTTTTTTTTTCTGGCTCCTTAAAGTATAAGCTTAGATCACTGAGTTGAGACTTTTCTTCTTTCCTAACTTAAGCACTGAGGGCTATAAATGTCCCCTAAAGTGCTGGTTTGGCCGATCCTACAATTTTGATATGGTTTTCATTTTCACTCACTTCGAAATATAATGCAATTGCTGTTGTGTCTTCCCCTTTGACCCATGGATTCCTTAGAGGTGTGCTGTTCAACTTCAAGCACTCAGGGGTCTCCCAGATACATTTCTCTTGTCATTTTCTAGTTTGATTCAGCTAAGCCCTGCAGTGGAGGTGGGGGAGGGTCCAGATGGGGTGTCACTTCTTTGTCCTGGAGGCTGCGGCTCCCCTCCATCAGGCTGCACCAGGAGGGCGAGTTTCTCATGCTTCCTGACCTACCCCCATCTTTCCAGTGAGCACCCCATGAGGTCTGCAAAGCAGAGCTGGCTAGTGGCGTGAACTCCTCTTGTGTCTGCCACTCGCAGGGGATCTGTGCTCCCACACTGGTCCACACGTAGCCTTTAGCATGATGTTAAATGTTTTAGCTTAATTATTTTTGTCTGGCTTATCTGGCATCCAACTGCTTCAGTCCCAGGTAAGCAAGGGCTTACATCCTGTCTCTCTTGGAAGATCCTCCTCCTTCAGTCTTTCCCCCCACCTTTTTTAAAGAAAAATGGAGATAAAATTTATATAATATAGTATTAACCCCTTTAAAGTGTACAGTTCAGTGGTACTTAATGCATTCACAGGATTGTGCAACCATGACCTCTGTCTAGTTCCCAAGCGTTTTCATCAGTCCAAAAGGAAACTCATACCTAACAGACAGCCACTCCCCACCCTCCCCTGCTCCCAGCCTCTGGCAAACAAATCTGCTTTCTGTCTCTGTGGACTTTCCTGTTCTGAGTATTTCCTACAAATGGACTCATACAATCCGTGACCTTTTGTGTCTGGATTATTCCTTAGATTTTCCTTAGTGTGTCTGCCCTGCAGTCGCAGCTCTCTGGTGATGTTAAGAAAAGTTATGATTCTGCAGATTCTCTAGTGTATTGCTGTCAAGGTGCCTTTTCCATCTTTCTGCATCCTAAGCAGAAGCGAAAGGTTCAACACAACCCTTTTGAAATCTTCCCCAAATCCGCATTCTCTCCTTGAATTGACAGATTTGCTGTTACCTGAAGCAACTTCTTGATTAAGTTTTGAGGTATTTGGTGTTTCATCATTGTTGTTGTGCACGAAGAGCTATAAGATCATGTGTAAAATCTTTCTCCACTTTTGCAAAATCACAATAAAAGGCACTGTCTGATTGATTGTCTTATACCCCTGAGCGTGTATGAGGATCAATTTAATGGACTCCCCATGGATTTTAGCGTCAGAAAAATGTCTGTTTTCAATAACCAAATTGGCTTTGTCTGATCACATAATGAAAAATGTAAAACTTATCACGGCTTCTTTATTTGTTGGCTGTCAAGAGGCTACAGTTAGCTTTCAATTGGATTAACAACCAATTGCAAGTGTCTGGAATCTTTATTTCTCCTCTTTTTCCAAAATATTTCTGATTTTTAAATTCAAGTTTTATTTTTCTGAAAAAGAAAGTTAAAACAAACATGCAGTTAGCATGATAGCAAACATTTGTATTTTCATAATCTATGTAGGTAGATTGTTTTAAAATTATGAAAAATTTAAAATAAAGTTGTATAAAGCTGTCACGGACGTATTCCACATCAGTACATATAGGACAAATTTCTCTGCAAGTTTTCTCAAGAAAATGTATACACTTGTGATGGATTTCAGTAAAGTGGACTAAACGCATAACAGGGCAATTGAGGTACGTTATTTATGGAAATCCTAGGAAGGATTAGTAATGGGCTATTTTTTCATTGTTCTTTAAACATCCGTATTGTTAGAACATCCAAACGTATTTCACTTCTATTATAATAAAAGAACAAATGTGTAAGGAGAAGAATAAACAAAAGAACCCACATACGCAACTGGATGCAAAGTGCAGCCAGCTCGAAGCCCTCAGGAGCACGACAGCAATGGACCTGCAGCCACCGGATACCCTCGTCCCTTGTCCCTGGAGGGCCCCTCCTTTCTAAGGGTGCCTTTCCACTGCCTGAGATTCAGCAAACAGGTCCCCGTCTGCCGAGCGTCCAGGCCGAGGCCTGGGGGGATGGGGTTGCAGGAAGCTGTCACGAATGAGCCGGAAGACCCTTGCCAATGGGGAGAGTCTAGATCCGACTGTCTGCCTCCTGGCAGTTTCAGACTTGTCCGCTGGGCCCCGAACGCGGCAGATCAACACTGAAGCAAATTAAATGCATGAGGCCTCTAACAAACAATGTCCCTGGACAAGCCTGGATTTTAATTCTATTACATAAATTCCACTAAAGGCATCTTTTAATGGAAGAAGTCATGGCGGGGCCTGTTAGTCATGAGCGATACTCAAAGGCAGGCCGCAGAGAGAGGAATTCTCTTTTTAGCTCAAGTCGCGGACATCTTCACTGCCTCTATTTTACAAGCGCCCAGCACACGGCTTCCCTGGAAGGGCTTCTCTGAGCTCCTCGAGTCCTCTGTGATGACTTCCTTTCTGAAAAATTCCTCACTTCGGTGTCATAGGCACGTGTCGTCAATAGTTAACACACACACATTTCTCACAAACACACAAATTTCTCGCTCTGGAACACGTTGTTATTATCCGAAGGCACGGTTCAGCCTTGTAGTATGAATGGAAGTATTTTTGGTTTTGAATCTTTTTTTTTTATTCACGAGTAATTCAGGGCTGCCTGACTGCCAGGTTTCCTGCAGTTGCAGAGAACGCAGGTTGGGGATGTAGGCTTTGAAAGTCAGTCTAAATATTTTTAAATGAATTGCATAATGGTGGTTGGGGTAAGGGACTGAATAAAATAAAACTTCCATGATTGGCATGGTGCAACTTCATGAAATTAGAAGGGCATTTGCAGGAGTGTGGGTCATGAGACACCCGAATGCACCTGAGATCCTTCATGTGGGTGATGAAGTCAAGGTCACCCCACACATAGCACGCTCTGACTAACAACAGTTGCCTTCATATCGCCCAAGAATTTAAGAGACCCAGGATGCTCTGCTGAGTAAGTTTCTATGATGTATCCATCCTAAGGCAATAGGTGTACTTTGTACTTAAAAAAAAAAAAACAGTTCATGAATAAACAGTGGGTCTAATGCAAAACCCCTCAGGCTAGAGATTGAATTCAGAGCCAGCCGCTCCCCTGCACGTCCTTCCCCAGCCCTTCCCTCAGTGTATTTAGAAAAAACAAATCCTATTCAACAAGCAGCATCTCTCAGCCAGGAACCTGAGATGCAGTGTTTCCTGGGCCTTAGAACAAGTCTACTCTAAAATCCCAGAAAGAGAAGGAAAGCAATTGGTGGGGGGTAAAGTAACAGACAACATAATAATAAATATGGATTTTCCCGGCTTACATTCATCCTCACAGCTGGTTTCACGTTACAGGCATGTGAGAAGCTGGCTCTGTGTCTTTGCAGCAGGAAAAGTCCCCTAAAGTCTAAGCTGGCTTCCAGCTCTGGTTCTACAAAGGTTCCTGGACGCCTTTGCATTTCTTAGCTGAGAAGGACATCTGTTGGGAGTAGGGCCTGGAACCCCCACGGTCACAGACGGGACCTGCTGTTGTCAAGAGGCGAATGCTTCTACGGTTTCCTCCTACGATAAACAGGAGGCACTGCTGAAACCAACCAAGCAGGGCCCTGGGGGCCTTCCTGGGGGCAGACCCTGTATCCCTTGCCTCTTGTTTTAGAGGGCCTTTAGCCTCCTCGGCCTCCCCGGAGTTCCAAAGAGCAAATTTAATCAGAGAAGTGAGAAAATGCAAAAACAAAGGAAAACCATTGAGCCAGACAAAATGGTCATAGTTTAGCCATAAAACAAAGTCAAGGACCTTTAGTTCCTCCTCAAGGGCTATAGATCATATTCCGAACCATATTCTCACGCTGTTTTGCAGACAGTGAAACCCCCCTCAGACGGAAGAGGTTAACTGCAGGCTGACCACCTGCGTGGAGACTCCAGACTGGCTGGAACCAGAAGGCTGCTGATGGAGATTCCCGAAACTACCCCGTTACCTCACCACCAACCAGTCAGAAAGACACCTCTGTGCTGATCACGTACCCCACAACCCTCATCCCCAATACTGCCCTTAAAAACCCTTCCCTGACAGTCATTGGGGGGTTCCAGTTTTTTGAGCATGAGCTGCCCGCTCTCCTTGGTTGGCACCTGCAGTAAACACTGTACTTTCCTTCACCACGACCCGGTGTCAGTAGCTTGGCTTTGCTGTGCTTTGGGCAAGAGCGTCCTGGTTTGGACTGTGAGTCTCCCTACAGCCCCTCAGCCTTCCAACTCAGAACTGATGGTGCCCAGCAGAGCTGCACAATTGATTTAGTTTCGACCTAGAATGAAAAATGTTCATTATTTCACCATTTGAGATGAAGTTTCTGCTACAGCTTTCTTGAGAAGCAGTACCAGGTCCCTGGAAATTTACCCTCATGCTAAAGTGTATTTACTGGCTCTCACACTCCCCACAGCAGAATCCCCAAACCTCATGCTTTCAAACTGAAGGAAGCAAGTTGTCTCGAAGCTTAAGTCACTTCACAACAGGATCTCAGTCAGAGGGGTCCTGGAGTCCGCACCAGTCAGCCCCGCTCACAAAAGCAGATTGGGAAACACTCCGGGATTTAGCAAGCTCAATAAATATAGCCATTATTATAAATTAGATAATGCAAACTTACAATGAAGTAAATTAAGAGAAAAGTTAACGAGCGTTCAGAACTCATCCCTTCCTATGTATTTTATTGTAGGTTAATTATCTCCACTTAGAGGTCACTTATATTTTTGTATCTTTAAGATGGAAATACACTATGTGACAGTGTGCTGCTGCGCCCCTCCCCCCGGCTCTGCACTCAGTGATATCTGGTTGGTAGCTTGAAATTGCCCTCGTGGGGAATGTTTACACCACAGTAATCAGCAAGTGCTGCAAACCAAGGCTTTCTGTCCCCTACTGAAGATTCAGTGTTAAACATTTACTAACACACCACTATCTCCAACCAGACCATAAGGGTTATCATAGGAGGAAGTACACATTCTGAGACCAGCTCCCACCCTGAACTTCCTGCCAGCACAACAGGTCCAGGACAGGGCTCTTAGTTCCTAGTAGTTGACCGATGAGTGTACAAACTGAGAGCTTCATCTCATCACAATCGAATGCCCCTGGCTGATGGTCAGAGGACGCAGAATGACCAGGAGCTGAATCACAGGGACAATCAGTGCCTGAGAGATGAAGCAGTCTGTTTTTGCACCTTATTCAAAGCCCACGTTGGCCAATGTTCTTTAGCCTCTGAAACTTTTTTTAAATAAAGGTTTTCTCAGAGATGCGATATGTAAAACAGAGGCAAGTGGAGCTGCCCAGTGACAGAGTGGGAAGGGGGCCAGATCCCACTGCCCACTCATTCTGCATCTCCCTTCTAGCTCCCAGCAGGACCAAAAGGGGAACTCCCTGGCTTCAGGGTGCACAGCTGGTAAACCGCCACCACAAAGCATGAATGCTGAGAACAGATGAGTGTTGATGTT